TTTCAAGCTGAGACTAGATATGGCACTGAATGCCATAGTCTAGTAACCATGGTAGGGTTGGACTTGCTGATCTTGGAGGTCTTTTCCAGCCTGGTTAGTTCTATGATTCTATGAAAGACTCGGAGTAACCTCAGTGCTTCTTTTGGCCTAGATTTTTGACTTTTTGTAATAATTTACTCTTTATTTTTTAACTATTCCCTATAGTCATAGATGAATTTTGCTGCTCATGTCTGTTTTGCTGGATGCCTCCTTCTTTCAGCATGATTGCTTTGCTTTGTGTTTCTTAGGAACCCTTTCTGATATTTAGAGAAATGAGAGAAATATCCACAAGAAAACGTGTGAGGCTCTTGTTTGACATATGTTTAATCTGACACTGTTGCCAGAAAATATTTGGCCCCTTTCTGCTTCCATTCCACATGTTTCTGCATTTGTGGAGCACTCTATTGTGTTGAGACAGATTGTGCTGTTGCAGCCTTGTCATGGTGATTGTGGGGCAGCTAACTAGGGAATAGGAGCTGCTAGCAGGGAATAGGATTTGGGTGGATAAGAGTTGATTGGATAACTATTCTGCCTAAAGAGTTTCCTTGAATTAAGTTTGCTGTGCGGTGCTGGTTGTGGTGCAGCTCTGTGAACTGCTCAGAGGACAAAGCAGTGAAGGAGCATATCACAAGAACTTCTGGCTTGGGCATCAGATGAGCTTAAAAAAAAGCTGAACTACCACTTGATACTAATAGCACCAAAAGATGTTCTGGAAAGCCACCTTACAAAGTTTAATGGTGATAAAAATGTAGAGAGAGTGTCTCTGTTAAACATGCTATTTTTATTCAGTCAGTGTGGTACCTTTGCATGGAAGAATGCACAGTAGAATTCAGAAGAGCAGAAGGAAATATAATTGTCTACTACTACTGGTTTATGTATTTTAATTTTTTTTTTTATTATTCACAATTTTTTTGCCTTTGTTCCATCATTTCACTTGCAAAATATGTCAGAATTATGCACAATGTGTAGTTTGTCTTTCTAAGAAAAAGCTGCCTCTTGCTATCCTCTGCTGCTGCAAAAAACTAGCTAAAAATAGGCAGCTTCCTGAAACAGCAGCCAGTCCAGGACAGTTCCTCTGAGAAGGGCTGAATACTCAGTTGTTTGGGTTGGAAAAGACATCTAAGATCATCCAGTCCAACCCAGCGCTGCTGTTCACCACTAACCATATCCCCAGGCCATATCCACACACCTTTTGAATACTTCCATCTCAATCGATTTTTAAAATTTCCACCTGAGAGATGGTAGCTAGTTGGAGAGCAACACTGGTTTTAGTTATGATGACCAGCAGCGGTATAGAATGTTAGCTAATATGTGTGTCTGGCATGTATTAACTTTCTGTGGAGTTCTTATGACAATTTCCTGTCAGGCCAATACCTGACAAGTGTAAATATTTAATGGAACCTTCTGTGCAATGTGTTCATTCTGGCTATTGGTTTTAAAATTTCATGTTGTATTAAATTTGGTGCACATCTATTGCTTATACTCAAATTAATTTCACAGTGTTCAATGTGGAGAAAAATAGTACAGTACTTCTGCTGAGATGTATCAGTCCTGTGGATACACAGGCTCTTGGCTGCTCTTAAAATTGAAATGTTCACATTTAGCTTGTGTGCAATTGGTAGGTTTGAGAAGATAGCAGTCCACTTTGCAGTGCACAGCAAACCAGCTTACCCAATCTTCTGCCCTTATCTTTCCCCTTCTCATCCTTTAGATCAAAAGGCCCTTTCAGCAAAGTTCGCGCTGGTCCTGGTAGGGGTCGGAAGCGTAAGATCGTCCTGTCCAGCCAGTCAGCAGCATCAGAAGGAGGATACCTGGAGCAGACAGATATCTTGGACTTCTGCAGAGATGGCAGCACCACCTTGAAGTTTAATAAGAAAACCAAAGGGCTTATAGATGGCCTTACTAAATTCTTCACTCCCTCTCCTGATGGGCGAAAAGCTCGAGGGGAAGTAGTAGACTATTCTCAGCAGTACAGGATCAGGAAAAAGGGTACCAGGAAATCTAGCACTTCAGAATGGCCCACAGGTAAAGATTTTTCACCCTGGCAATGTAAGTATTCTGTACACCAAGCAAATATTCAAAGGCTAGGACGTTGAAGTGACTAGAATTGTTATAGGCTTTAAACTTTGAGCTGAAAGTTACCTGATGCAGTTATCTTTGGTGCACTGAGGTAGAATACCAGTTGGAAAAAGGAAGTGGTCCTAGAGACCTTTACCTCTTTACATATGATGGCAAAGTGTGATGAGGGATTAAATGATTATGGTGAGGTAAAATGCTCTTTGGTAAGGAGGTGAAGACAATTTTATCTCTCATTTTCAGACAATCAAGATGGCTGGGATGGAAAGCAAGAAAGTGAAGAGCGTTTTTTTGGGACCCAGGATGTCTTAACTGAAAAAGACATGGAGTTGTTTAGAGATATTCAGGAACAAGCACTGCAGGTAAAGTTAAATTTTCAGTGTCTGACAGTAAGTATGGAACCTGTAAAAGAAATTTGAACAAAACAGTGTGAAGGGTAGTGTGTGACAATGCTTACTAATTTCTTTTTGAGAGTCACATGGTTGCTTGAAGTGTGACTGGTACTGGGTTTTAGTGTCAGAAAGCAACACCTGCACCTTCCTAACTCCCTGTGAGTTTGAGTAGGATGGACTGTGTAGATAAGAATGTTTTAATGTATTAGAAGTCTTTTACTTGGAAATTCACAAAGGCTTGGGTTTTTTTCCCCTTGCATAGAAAGTAGGGGTGACTGGGCCTCCTGATCCACAAGTCCGCTGCCCTTCTGTCATCGAATTTGGCAAGTTTGAAATCCAGACCTGGTACTCCTCCCCGTATCCACAGGAGTACTCGAGGTATGACTCTTCAGTGTTTATGGGAAAGCTGTACTCCAGCAGGCATAGAAATCTTACATGTTTTGGCATCTGAAAGATTGTTCTGCTGTACTGTGTGTATAGTTGTTTTGAGGTTCTCTTGCTTAAGAACTTCGCAAACTGTCTGAAGTGCAAACTCTCCACACTTTATTCAGAGAGAGGAAGAAGTTCGAAGGGCTATAGCTAGAGGAAGAAAATTAGCTGGAGAAGAGAAGACTGCGTGGAGACCTCAGGGCAACTTTTCAATATCTGAAGGGCCTACAAGGAGCTGGAGAGGGACTCTTTGTTAGGAGCTGCAGTGATAGGACAAGGGATAAGGAGTTCAAGCTGAAGGAGGGGAAGTTTAGATGAGATATTAGAAAAAAGTGTTTTCCTGTGCGGGTGCTGAGACACTGGCACAGGTTGCTCAGGGATGTGGTGGCTGCCCCAACCCTGGCAGTGTTCAGAACCAGTTTGAATGAGGCCTTGCGCAGCCTGGTCTAGTGAGGATGTGTCCCTGCCGATGGCAGGGGGTTGGGACTAGATGATTGATAAGGTCCATTCCAGCCCTTAAATTTATGATTCTGTGGTGATTCTATGATTAAGTGAAACTCCTTATTCTGCCATGTAATAAGAACATGGAGTCTGTCATGAGCAATTATTCTGCCTGTAGTAAAGACATCGAAGGTAACTGAAAATAGCGCTCCTGCCCAAGCCAGAATATGTAAATGGAGTTAAATCACAACAATACTGGGGCACTTGCACTCCAGTTGTTCATGCCAGCGTAACATGTAAAACAATATGAAAGCAAACAGAGAGGTGGTAACGTGACCCGTTGATCAAGGGTATGTGCATAGAGTTGTGTGCGAGGAGGGAAGCAAGGGAATAGGAACTGTTTATCTCACCCATCCTAGTATCACTAGTGTAAAACCTGGTGGGGGGAGGAGAGGGTGTCACTGTTTTTTGCTAGGATTTTAATCAGTGCATCTATTTCTTCTGGCATAACTTAATAATGTAAATGTAATTATGCAGGACATTAAGAACATTTTTAAATATGCATTTGTTACAGAATTAGTAAGTGTCATGACTTTAACTATGGTAAGGTGGTTTTGCCCTCATTAGCACATACACAAGGTCAGTATATATTGGGTTTGTTTTCATCAAGATCTCTGTCTGCAGGAGTGGGGAATTATATACAAAAGTCTGTATTTTCGGTCTTTGATCTTTCTTTATCTTTGCTTACAGGCTTCCCAAGTTGTACCTTTGTGAATTCTGTCTAAAGTACATGAAAAGCAGAACTATTCTCCAACAGCATATGAAAAAATGTGGCTGGTTTCATCCCCCGGCCAATGAAATCTACAGAAAAAACAATATTTCAGTCTTTGAGGTAAGTCAGAAAATTTAAGCCACTCAATTTTATCTATAAAATAGGGTCTTTAGCACATAATTGTGTGGTTAAGTTTTTCATAGCTCTAAAGATCTTCATTCTTGAAATGCTCAGTTGCCAAGAGTGAAGAACTGTGAGCAAGCAGGCAGTGGGAATTGACCCTGTGCATAGATCATATCTATAAAACATAGGAGAAGATTTGCTTTGTAAAAACGGGGGGGTTTTAAATTCTAGGAAGATTAATTTTATGTTGTCTCTTAAGCTAATGAATGTAACAGTGGCTTGGTCACAGCCTTTCTTCTGTGGAAGTTTTAAGTTCTGTGAGCCACTACCTCTGAGAGAGAAGTCTTTCTGTCACGTTAGACATGTCAAATGTACAGGGATACTCAGGTGACACATGGAATGACAAAACTTTTCCTCATGTCTGTAAGGTTGATGGCAATGTCAGCACTATCTACTGCCAGAATTTGTGCTTGTTAGCCAAACTCTTCTTGGATCACAAGACTCTCTATTACGATGTGGAGCCATTTCTTTTCTACGTGCTGACACAGAATGATATTAAGGGCTGTCATCTTGTTGGCTACTTTTCCAAGGTAAGTACTGGAGTACAAACTGTGTTTGCTATGGGGAGAAATGCTGCTTCAGGGTCTTTAAATTGTTGTAATTTGCATTATATGTAATAAATTATGTAATACAGGTATAGATGACTGTTGCAACCAGATTTTGTTTGTTTCATTCAGCGACTACCAGTCAGTAAAATCAAGTTTCCTCATATTGTTGAATAGCATAGATTTGCTAAGGAGCTTGTACTGCAGCTAGTGGTTAAAAAACAACTCTTCAAACAGCTTCCTACTCTTAGTGGAGATGGTAGTCGTGTTTGTGAGTTCCCAAATAGTTCCAGTCCACCTTTCTTTCTCTAAATACTTTGTTTTCGAAACAAGCGCACCTCATTTAAAGCCCTTTAGTTTTCTGAGGGAACAGGCCCAAGATTTCAGATAGGCTTTTTCTTAAGATTTTTCCCTGTAATTGTTTTACCTTTGTTTAGAGCTTTTCTTTTCAATGTTCAGAACAGCAGATTTGAGATTGGGTTTCTGGTATGTTGTGGTTATAACATGTCCTGGAATACTTCAGTCTTCTGCAGTGAATTTTGCAGTTTTGGATTTATCTGCTCTGCAGCCCATGTTCTTTACTGTGTTGTATCTAAGCAGAAGGTTATGTAGAGGTTTCATTCTTTTTGCTTTTCTGAACTGAAATGGTGGTAATTTAGAGTTTTAATATTGTCTCTTTAAAGTTTTCCCTTGGCTCATGCAAATTGTTGTTCCTAAGAAACTTTGACTGTGGCTTCCTATCTCACTTTTTGCTATAGAAGTACTTAAGGACTTTTACAGAACAATTTCTACTGTTTCTCACTGGTCTTCTGGGGTTTTAATATGCTGCTTTTTTTACCCAACAGGAAAAACACTGCCAACAGAAGTACAATGTCTCCTGTATAATGATTCTTCCACAATACCAGCGTAAGGGCTATGGCAGGTTCCTAATCGACTTCAGTAAGGAACTTTTCTTTGCCTTTTTTAGTCTTTGTGTTTTCACATTTTAAAGAAGGACTTAACAGTAGCAGCAGATACTTTTCAAATTAAAACACCTCTCAGGACAAAGGATTCTGAACTTCACAGTTTATTCTTACTGTTGGAAGGCTTCAATTCTAAGGACAAATTGATCGTTTTTGCCTTAATTCTCATGTTTCCTGTGTAAGCAACTTGGGGTGGAAATTAACAGGCATGTGTCAGTATAGTGATTTTAGCAGCAGCTTATCTTGTGCATGTGGTTCCTTATACAGAAAGCGAGCTTTGACTGCATGGTCTGTGGAAATCTTTGGCAGCTTGGGTAAGGGAATGAGTGTCTTAAGCAAAAGGTAGTCTTCCTTCTGTTTTAATTTAGCTTTGAGAGCAAACAAAATCAGACATGCTTAGGCTCTGAATACTCAATTCTCAGTTTCCTACATGTTCATGGGAAAACTTGCCACTCTAACTACATGTTGTTTATTATGCTGAGGGCAATCTAATACAGCCCTACCTGTGGACATGCTAATTTTGGTGTCCATGTCCAGAAGAAAACTCTATTGGTAAAATTATATTAGAATGTGCTGGTAAATATCTGTGTAGGTAAGCTGTTGTTCTCCTGAAAATACTAGTGAAGCAAAGGAACTAAAGGATGTATCCTGAGAAATCCACAAGTGTGGGCTATATTAGAGCAGCAGTGAGAGTTTGTCATTTGGTTCCCTCCACCCTCCCTTTGTCACACTGGGGAGAATATAACCTCTCAGTCCTTATTGAATCTCTGCAGTGTATCACAGTCTTAAACTGACTAAATTTCTGCAGATAGAGTTTGGTACTTTCCAGTATGGCCCTGAAGTTTGACAGAAGAGAATTTTAAAGAAAACTATTTGTCATATTAGTTTTAAATGGCTAAAATATGTTTTTTCTCTGTCGTTTTCAAAGTTGCTGTTGCAGTTGGTAGGAAGGCAGCAGACTTGCTGCTTCAGGCTTGGTGTAGTTTCTAGGTAGGCACCTGCTGCCATCTCGTGGCATTGCGTGCAGCCAGTGGCTGATGGCAGTGGAGTTCAGAAATCTTATGCTCAGTCATTGAATAGCAGGAGTCTAAACAAACAAACAAAAAAATTTGCCAGAAAAGTCAGAGTATGCTTTAGAATTATCATCTAGATCTCGTAGGCAGCATTCGGCTGCTTCCTGGGAAAATGTCTTTGTTGGGGTGGGAACAGAAGCTATTTTTTTGATGCTTTTCCCCTTCTGTGTCTTTAGGCTATTTGCTTTCAAAGCGTGAGGGTCAAGCAGGATCACCAGAGAAGCCCCTGTCAGACCTGGGGCGCCTCTCATACATGGCTTACTGGAAAAGTGTAATATTGGAGTGCCTTTATCATCAACGTGACAAGCAATTAAGCATCAAGAAATTGAGTAAACTGACTGGAATCTGCCCTCAAGATATCACTTCCACTCTGCATCACCTACGAATGCTTGACTTCCGTAGTGATCAGTGAGTACAGGAGTACATACCTTCAGATGTATTTCAGTGAAATTTACTGGTGTTTGGAGACGTGTCACGTCTGATAAGCTGATTTTATTAAAGACTTGTGTGCAAATACTGGCCGTAGAGATTGACACTTATGTCCAATTCAAGAGTTGTTTGGTGCCAAAGCTGGATTAGATGTCCAGCTGTGTAGCACTGCAGATTTGGAACTTCGAGTAACTTGCACCTGTGACAGAAAGCAAGCTGGTCTGTTGGGGTCCCTCTGCAAAATCAGTCTAATACACTCATAAAACAGAGCAAAGAACAGCAAATTCCCTTCTCTAGAGGCAGGTCTGCTCCTTATTTTCAGTCTCTGAGCAGACAGTTGTTTCCCTCCTTTTCTCTGTGTCAAAAATGCCTTGAACTGTGTGGATTAACATGGAATGCTTGAAGAGTGGAGTGAGTCACTGGGAGAAATGAGGTGTGTGGGTATAGAATAGAGGTAGTACAAGCCAGGTGAAGTACTGGGAATTATTCTTGTTTCAGATCATAGCAGTTTGGTGTTTGGGGTCATATTCTACTGTGTTTTGTGTTACACTTGAAACTCATTGGGAAACTTGAGAAAAGTTTTGTGTCCTCATTTCACAGCAGTGATATTGCTCCTGGCTCCTTAAATAAGATTCACTGTTGTGGTGGGGACTGTAACTTTTTTGAGCAGACCTTTTATTCAGTATCTTTCACCTTATATTGCCCATTCCCCAATGGCATACCCCTTGTCCATTTAACACGCAATAAAAGTGATACTCTGCAGCTGAATGTTACCCTTGGAAGGATAATGGCTTCACCATGAACAAGGAGCATATAAAACATTTTCTCAGTTTTATAAGATGCTTTCTCTGGCAGTCTGATGGTACTGCAAATTGTACAGTTTTAAGGAGCTTTCCATCCCCTCTAAAATTACATGTGGCAGCACAGATTGAGAGCACACAGATTTTCCTGTAATACATCTGTTTCACATGACAACGCGTGCAGGACATTGCTTGTTACTGATCAGAGTATTCTTACTGTGAAGGTTTGTGATAATTCGTCGTGAGAAGCTTATCCAGGAACACATGGCAAAGCTCAGAACTAACGTCCGACCGATAGATGTAGATGCAGAATGTCTGCGTTGGACACCTGTTATAGTTTCCAATTCAGTTGTCTCTGAAGATGAAGAAGAGGAAACAGAGGATGGGGAAAATGAAGAGCAACAACAGCAGAAAGAAAAGGATCCAGAGCCCAGTGTAAGTGTGAATCTGGTACTTCTGCGTGGCGTGTGGTTTACACTTGACGCTTTTGCAGGCAGTGCTAGAAAGATTTGGAAAGCAAAGCTTGGGCATTTGGCTTCATTGTAAAAAGCAATGCAGTCATGATTAGTCTATGCGTATTTATGGTTTCAGATGAGAAAATAAAAACAGAGAAACCACATAGTCAGGACAGTCCTTGAAGGGGTTGCACTTGCATCAGATGGCGAGCACTGATGTGAAGACTAAGAAGCAAATTATCTGCTGTTACTGTATTTACATAAACTAATTGTGCATTTTAATGGGAAATCGGCTTCACTTTTGTCTCACTTTTTTCTTGAAAACTGCATGAATCCTGTGTTGGTGACAAGGTGATGTTAGAGTTCTGGCATGCCTCTGGATGGCTGCTGGTGACTGAAGTCACTCACTCAGGTGCGTTATCACCTGTGAGAAAAGGAGTAGCAGGTAGCACTACTTGAATCTCATAAGGTCAATTCTTTAACCTCAGATTGTTAAAAGTCATTCTTGTTAAACTTTTCTGACTTCTTGCTCTAAAGCCTATGTGAAATCAAACTCAGAATAGACATGAAATAGGAAGTGTGAAATCTATCTGCTTCTATTTCAATCAGATGGTAAAATCTGTGTCATGGGAGAAGAAAGAGCAGGAGCCTTACTCACATACAGAGGGTGAAAAAAAGCCAGACATTGTTGCTCCAGCCAATTCTGCACGACCAAACAAGCACATTTTCCCCCTGGATAGTCTTCCTGCAAACAGTCAGCCATCACGAAGAGGTCGGTGGAACCGCAAGAGCAAAAAACTTCGTGAGCCCTTTTGTGAGAAGGAGCCTGTATTGTCCATTGAGGACCAAGCAGCAGTTCCCAGTGGGCGATGCAGTGAATGTGAGGAGAAATCAGCAGCCTCACGGGGCAGATGCAGTGACTGTGAGGAGAAGTCAGCGCCTTTGCAAGGAAGATGTGGGGAATGTGAGGAGAAGTCTCCAGCCTCTAGAGGACGGTGTACTGAAGATGAGGAAAAATCTGCAGTTTCCCAGGGACAGTATGGCAAAGGTGAAAAATCTGCAATTCCCCGTCGGCGGCACAGCGAGGGTATGGAAAGGTGGAGGGGGCAGTTGAAAAAGAACACGGAGCCCCTGAAGTGCAGATTCTCTGAGGACTGCGACAGATTACCACGCCGCTACAGTGACAGTGACAGGGCAGTTCTGAGGTGTTTTAGTGAGAGTAGTGAAGAGGAAGATGATGAGCCTGTGAGTCCTCGATCGAGCTCTCCACCTGTTCTCACCAAGCCAACATTAAAACGAAAGGTGTGTACCTTATTTCTTACAGTTCCGTAATTGCATAGACTATTAAGGGGTTGGAATGGACCTTAGAGATCACCCAGTCCCAACCCCCTGCCTTGGGCAGGGACACCTCCCACCAGGGCAGGTTGCTGAAGGCTTTATCTAACCTGGTTTTGAACACTGCCAGGGCTGGGGCAGCCACAGCCTCCCTGGGCAACCTATTAGCCCCACAGTAAACACGTTCTTCCTAATATCTGATCTAAATTTACCTCATTGTTGTTATTCCCCTTCTTCATTTCCCCTTCTCGTTGTATCTCGCTGTATCATGCAGTTGGTTTTGTCAGTATGTTGGGGCTTTCTGAAGGATGGTGCTGTTCATGAGGTCTGTGTCAAGTGTACAGGTAGCACATGCTCAGTGTTCTAGACCTCTCTCTGGAGGGTTCTTCCTGCTGCCTCTTTCTAGTGGTGTTTTTTGTTGAATCAGAGGTAGGAGTTTGGTTTTTTTCTAATTCTATCTTCTGTCTTGTGCTTTCGATTTTATTTTTTTTCTACCTTGGTTATTAAAGCTTTACTCAGTCATGCAAAATAGAAACAGATATGATCCTACTTATGAAAGAATATTGCAAAACACAAATGTTCTCGAAACAACTGAAATCACAGCATAAAATCTTTGAAATGATTTACAGTGGAGGTGTGACTTATATCATGACTGAGCAAATCCTGTCTTCATGGGATGCTGCACTAGAAAGTTCTGTATCATCTTTGCAGCTTGTTCTAAGCTATTCACATCTATGTTGTAGTGTCTCTAAACTTTCAGCTGTTATGGATAGGCTGTTAGCTTCAGCTGTGTAAGTTCTAACTGGTGGCGGGTGCTGGTCAGTATGTCTATTCTGGATTCCAGAAGAGAGCTGTCTAGTCCTGCTAGGGCTGTTGAACTCTGCTGTTCATGTTTTGTGTTTATCAGTGTTTTATTTCTACTGGACATGATAAAATTCATTCTCTTTTCCACTTCCAGAAACCAATTCTTCCTCGGAAGAGGCGAGTCCGCAAGCGTAAGCACCACAACAGCAGTGTTGTCACCGAGACAATCTCCGAGACCACAGAAGTGCTGGATGAACCATTTGAGGACTCAGACTCTGAACGACCAATGCCCCGATTAGAGCCTACATTTGAAATTGAGGAGGAGGAAGAGGAGGAGGAGGATGAAGAGGAGGAAAGTGAACTTTCATCCAGTGGATACTTTCGGCACTTAGCCCCACCAGACACACTCAGGCATAGACCCCCTTCTAAGAGGAAGTCCAAAGATGAGGAGGAGTCTGATGACAATAATGGTATGTTTGGTGGTACACTGGTGAAAGTTTGATAGAGATTGTGTCAGATGATACTAGCACACAACCAGACAAGCTGCTTACCTTGTCTTGTAACTTCTAGCCAAAGGCATAAATTTCCAGTCAAACTAGCCTCAAACATTCCCAAGCTTTATGAAAATGTGGTACATACATTTAACTATCTTATTAGTAATGACCTGATCACAGGGTATCCTTCTGATCCAGCTTTCCTAATGGAATTTGTATCTGTGATTGTGGAAAAACCTATGCAGCACGATTGCTCACAGAAAGGAATTGGCGAGCCCTCAGTTTTCCGTAACAAAGAGAAGTATTAAATTGTCTCTTCTGAGATCCTCATCACATTGCATGTTCAGCCTCTCAGCTCTCATATCTCCTCAAAGTTTTCTGAACCTTCCCCTCATGAAATAAAGTTCTTTGGTTCTGACTGGTTGCTTAGAGTACACTGACAGTTCAGAAGAAGCATCTCTCATTCAGATGCTCCATTGGCACCTTCACTGTGGCTGTTAGATGTTCTGTTCTCTCACAGGCTATATAGTGCAGAGCAATCAGCTGAACAGAAATGAACAACTGTGTGAGAAACAGTAAGGTGCATTATCCCATGGTAAAAAATTGTCACCAGAACGAACTTATTAATTTACAGCTTTCTGCTAGCCTGTGGTTACTAGAGAAGTTTTCTTTAAAAGTACTTATAAAGGCATCAATGTGATTATAGCCATGTTTTCTATCCATTTAGCATCTGTTACCCTTAAATCCTTACTGCAGCATATACCTATGTCAGTTTGTTGCAGACACATGCTGATACAGCATTAAGTTTTCTCAGTGGGAATATGCACACAGTCAGTTTGTGCCATTGTTTTTGTTTTAATTCTGCTGTGGTCAGATTGCTCATTAAATACATTTTTATGGTTCTCCGGCACCATTGATGAAACTGTAGAGTTGTGGAAGACTTTTAGATGAGTTATTTCAGTCTTTTTCATTGGTGTTCCTCTGTGTGTTTCCTGGTGGAGATGCAGAGCCCGTCAGAGATTCCACTCACATATATTGCTTAACCACCATTTGCAGACTACACGTAGTCCACTGAGTGCCCAAGGATCAAAATGGTATTTTGAAAGCCACTGTTTTAAGTCACACCCGTTATACTGCAGTGATAAATTTCTTGCTCACCTACTTTATCAATACTTGTCAATTAGTGCTTCCTGTTTCCTTCTCTCACTTCTGTTGCTTTTTTTCCCTGAACTTCTACAGATTTGTCAGAACCTCTGAAGTCATAAAGTAATAAGCACGCTGGGATAGGGTGTTGTTGCCCCTGACATCGAGCAGTATCTGTTGGCTGCTTTTGCCTTTAGTGCAGGCGCCTTTGCATATTAAAACTGTAGTGGCCTTAGAGAACATACGGGGTACTTGCAATTACTTCAGCAGGCTCATCATAAACAACTGGCTTTGTTTTGATAAAAATTTCAGCTGAGTGAGGGGAGCAGCACTGCCTCAGGACAATTAAAAATAGAGTATTGCAGTCATTAGCACACGGTTCAGATTTAGACTATTTCGATCATCACTCTAAGGCAGGAATGTTTATAGGAAGCTTAGGGGTTTTCTGAGGTTTTCGCATTCACAACCTGCTTGCTAATTACTTTTGGTTTTCTTTTCTTTCTTTAACTTTGTGAGTAAGGGTCACATTTTCCCCCTGAGAGCTTAATCTCTAGCTGAGGCAATGCACCGAAGGTGTTTAATGATTTTCCTGCAATGCAACATTGCAGTCTCTTCAATGGATGTCTGATGAGAGTTTGAATTAGTTCTGGTTGCTGCCAGGGCTGCAGTGAGAATGGATAGTGTGGGGTGGTGATTTGAGGCCAGTATGTAGTACGAGTTAGGCATTCTGGAAGACAGAATGTGTTCTGTGGTGTAAAAACCAAAGCTTTTGTCTCGATCTTCTTCCAGTTCTGTGCAACTTCAGTAGTGTTGAGTGGGGGGAAATGAACCTCAGTAATAGGCTGAACTGTATTAATTTGCTTTTCCTAATTCCTTCTGTAAGTTTTACTGTGAATGTGGCAAATCTAATCCTCTGTAGTAGATATGAAATGTGAAAGACAAGGAAGAGGAATAGAGAATTTATTATTCTTTTTAGGAGGTGGATATTACTTTAAGGGTCTAAATGTTAATGCTTTAATGAACACTATAAAAGTAGTGTCTCCTTCCTGCTCAGCACTATGCTGGCTGTGACAGGTCCATTCCTTCCTTTAATTGCATTCCAAATACTTAGTTTTTGGATGACTTAAAGAACTGTTGGATTTTGAATTCACTATTCCTTTTAAATTCATTTTTTAATACCCAGAATTTTTGAAGAATGCTTCTCATTGGAGGTACTCAGAGCAAAGGGCAGGAGTAACTCAGCTTTACACAGTTTTGTAAAATGTCATGGACTGTTCTAACCAACAGATTCGAACCAGACTCTGGGAATGCCTTCGACTATTCAGCAAGTTCTCAGTAAACAACCACATCCTCTTCTGGCTGTATGAGCCCTGAAACTATTTGAGTGTTCAAAAGTAACCGAAATGCAAAACTTGCTTCATAAAATCAAAGAGGAGAGAGAAATTCAGCTTGAAAAAGTTAAGAATTAATGAACTTCAGGCATCTGTGTGTTTCTATTAGCATTAAAAAGCATAAGGCCATAAAAAAAAGGCAAAAAATATTTCCTTTCTTAAGCAGATGCACAAAATACAGATCCAAATGGAAACATGCTTTCATTTCAACTTTGTGTTCCCCTACACTGCGACATTTGCATCTGTGCACATATTTTATAAGTCGAATTTGCCTTTCAGGACTTTACTGTGTAGCCTAGGGCTTAATTTGAATGGTGTGTGAAAGGCTCAGAGCTTTGAACATGCAAACTCTTGCAAGGATTGGTATTCTTTGCAAATGTGATGTGCAGCATGCTTGCTAATGAGCAGACCTTGATCCTTCTTGTTGCCCTTCACAATAAATTTCTGAGCTGATGTTCATGAACATGATGGGGATGCTTTGGAAGGCTTCCATGAGTGCTCGGGTCAAACAAAACCATTTGAACAGTCTTTCCATTTGTGTTTTCAGGTAACCCACCTTTGAAACCATTATCTGTGCTGAGGAAATGCGAAGCCAAGGATTCTCCACTTGAGCCAGATACTTCCACACCCATGAAAAAGAAGAAGGGATGGCCCAAAGGGAAAAGCCGAAAACCAGTGCACTGGAAGAAAAGACCTGGTCGAAAACCAGGTTTTAAACTGAACCGGGAAGAGGTGCCACCATCAGTTCAGGATGAAGGAGTCGATGAAGTGCTAGCTAATTCAAAACCAGGGCGTAAGCCTAAGATTTCAGATAAAGAAGAATGTGTTGAGCAGAAAGAAGACCTGCCTCTTGTCGAGGAGCGGAAAGAGGAGGATGTAAATATGGAAGCAGAAGAGGTAGGAGAGGGAGAAGAGGAAGATACAGCCAGCAGCGAAGTAAGAGCAGTTTCTCCTGTGGATAGCAACAGCAGTCCAGTGCCAGAAGTAAAAGAGCCTGAGATAGAAGAGGAAGCAGATGAGAAGCCACAGATTTTAGAAGAGCAAAGGCAATCAGAAGAAGAGCAGCAAGAATTAGAAGAACATGAGCATGACCATGAGGAAGAAGAGGAAGTTGCAGTAGTGACAAATCAAAATGAAGATCATGATGCTGATGATGAAGATGATGGTCATTTGGAGTCTGTGAAGAAAAAAGAATTGGAGGAACAGCCTGTTAGAGAAGGGGTAAAGGAGGAGCCTCAGGGGCAAGAATGTTTTTTAGAAACAACTGCACCAAGCAGTAGAGAAGATGCAAAAGGAAAAGATGAAGCAGAGGCAGATTCTGAGGAAGAGCAGGCTTCCAATGAGACATCAGTGGGCTCAGAGAACGTCCCTGGCTCTGAAGATGATCATGAAGAAGAACAAAGTAATAAAGAAGGGTTAATTGAATTAAAGGAAGAGGAAGAGATTCCTCATAGTGAACTAGATCTTGAAACTGTTCAAGCAGTCCAGTCCTTGACACAGGAGGAAAGCAATGAGCATGATGTAGCTTACCAGGACTGTGAAGAAACTCTTGCAGCTTGTCAGACTTTGCAGAGTTATACCCAAACTGAGGAGGATCCTCAGATATCAATGGTTGAAGATTGCCAGGCCTCAGAACACAACAGTCCAATATCCTCTGTTCAGTCCCACCCCAGCCAGTCTGTGCGTTCTGTCAGCAGCCCAAATGTGCCTGCTCTAGAGAGCAGTTACACCCAGATAAGTCCTGAACAAGGATCCCTGTCCGCACCCTCTATGCAGAACATGGAGACCAGCCCCATGATGGATGTGCCTTCAGTATCGGACCACTCTCAGCAGGTGGTGGATAGTGGCTTCAGTGACCTTGGCAGCATTGAGAGCACTACAGAGAATTATGAAAACCCCAGCAGCTATGACTCCACTATGGGAGGCAGCATTTGTGGAAATAACTCTTCCCAGAGCAGCTGTTCATATGGAGGACTGTCTTCTTCGAGCAGCCTCACTCAGAACAGTTGTGTTGTCACTCAGCAAATGGCAAATATTGGCAGCAGTTGCAGCATGATGCAGCAAAACACTGTCCAGCCTGCAGCAAACTGTAATATCAAGTCACCTCAGAGCTGTGTAGTAGAAAGGCCTCCAAGTAACCAGCAACCAACAACACAGCCACAACAGCAGCAGCCTCAGTCACAGCAGCCACAGCCCCCACCTCCACCCCAGCAGCAACCTCCGTTGTCTCAGTGTAGCATGAACAACAGCTTCACCCCAGCACCTATGATCATGGAAATACCTGAATCAGGCAGCACTGGTAACATAAGTATCTATGAGAGGATTCCAGGGGATTTTGGTGCTGGGAGCTATTCACAACCATCAGCCACATTCAGTTTAGCCAAGTTGCAGCAGCTGACAAACACCATTATGGACCCTCATGCCATGCCTTATAGCCATTCTCCTGCTGTGACTTCCTATGCAACCAGCGTTTCTCTATCCAACACGGGACTGGCTCAGCTAGCTCCCTCTCACCCCTTGGCAGGCACCCCACAAGCACAAGCCACCATGACACCCCCACCAAACCTGGCATCCACCACCATGAACCTCACGTCGCCTCTGCTTCAGTGTAACATGTCTGCTACCAACATTGGTATTCCCCACACCCAGAGGCTGCAGGGGCAGATGCCAGTCAAGGGGCACATTTCCATCCGCTCCAAATCCGCCCCCCTGCCCTCGGCAACCGCACACCAGCAGCAGCTCTACGGCCGCAGCCCTCCCGCCGTGGCCATGCAGCCTGGGCCTCGTACCTTAGCTGTCCAGCGGGGCATGAACATGGGAGTCAACCTGATGCCAACCACCCCGTACAACGTGAACTCCGTGAACATGAACACCCTGAACGCCATGAACAGCTACAGAATGACACAGCCCATGATGAACAGCAGTTACCATAGTAACCCTGCCTACATGAACCAGACAGCACAGTATCCTATGCAGATGCAGATGGGAATGATGGGGAGCCAGGCCTATACCCAGCAGCCTATGCAGCCAAATCCTCATGGAAACATGATGTACACTGGCCCCTCCCATCACAGCTACATGAACGCTGCTGGGGTGCCCAAGCAGTCTCTCAATGGACCATACATGAGAAGATGAGCAAGATGAACTTGCATCCTAAAAACTGAAATATATATAAATAAAGGAACCTTTTATACTGACGAACCAGAGAAAATGGACCTTTTTCCAGTTAAAATATTGCTGTAGATTTAGAGGGATTTTCTTTGGTTTATTTTATTTTTTAGGAAGCCTGGTCTTTTATTTTTTGTTGGTTTTTTTTTTTTTTGTTTGTTTGTTTGTTTCTTTTGGTTTTTTCCTTCACAATCCTCAAACATTTTACAGCTAAAAATCATTTACAGATGTTTTTTAGAGGGGAAAACATGCACAAAATCTTTTCATAATTTAAAAAGAGCCTTACTTTGCTGACAAAGTGGACAGACTATGTGTAACAGTGAAATCATCTTTCTAAATTTTTTTTTAAATTTGTCCTTCTCCCTTCCCTGTGCCCCTCTGTATGCAGTTTCTAGTGCTGCAGCCATGTAAAATGTTTGACATCTCAAAGAATAACAACCCTTCCCTCTAAACCCCACCTGGCATTTCCTACTTCTAGAAGGAGGCACTTATCGGGAGACTTGGAAGGGGACACAGAGGATAAATGAAGATCTTTATTTCTGCAAGTCAGGAAAAATTGTTAATCTTTCATTTTCCCTGACTCCCTCACCTTCAGTAAAATTTGGAGTTAGGTGTAAACAATAAACTATTCTCATTGGTGTTTTTGTAGATGAGTTAATTGAAATTGTATGTTTCATGCTGAAAATATAATGTAACTTTAAAATGATCCCATTCACCACCTCAACATGCACGTGAACACACATGTGCATGCATGCACACATGTTCTGGCACTGAACTGCTGGAAGCCTTGAGAGAGAGAACTGGTTTGTATTCCTTGTGCAGTCATGAGGAGGACAGGATGGGTAATGGTCTGCTAGGGCAAGAAAATGGTTGCAGGGTCTTCTGGTGAACTGCAAGTCAGGCACAGCTCTGAGATCCCAAACTGTTTTAGTATGTACTTGGAAATGCTGAGGGTCTTGGTTCTCAGCCCTTGAGTCAGGCTGAGCTCAGAAGAAGCTGTTCCGCGTTAATCTGGGCTTGGGTGATTCTGGAAGATACAGTGTGTGTGAAGTGACCCTGCCTGCAGGGATGAGAACCCTGTGGTGTCCTGGTCACTCTTCTGGTCCTGCTCTGGGGTAGAGGTTGCTGAATGTGCTGCTCTCTGGGGGAGTCAGTGATGTTTTCCCTGATTTCCTCACTGTGATTGAGGCCCATTTTACAGGGATAGCCACATATTTGATCTAGTGTGGGAGAAGAAGGGAATCGGCCTGTTTTACAGCAGTGAAACAGTCCTGGCACCACAGCAGGATGTATGCAGCAGGATTTTGCTGCTCATTGCTGCACAATCCAATTTACATTGTTTTTGCCTGACTGCTGGCATGTCACCCCATGCAAAAAGGGACACCCTTTAATGTAAAGTTGTTTTTTTAATGTATATGAAGTAGAAATACAGACACATTAATAAGACTAATTTCTTTCATTGTTAAACCAAAAGAGTCTAAAAGAAAGTTGGGATTTCTTCAGATGCACTAAAATGGACTTTCCTTCAGTAACTGCTAACCGTGAATGGCAGAATTCAAAGGACTTCCACTTTTTGTTTGTTTAGTTTTGAGCATGTACAAGGCTGTGTAGGACCCCATTTCTCTGTATATACTATTCCAGTCCCAGATAACCCATGTAGAAAGCGCACTGTGCTGCCCTCTCTGCGTAGATCTTCGGCTGTGTCACTGCTTCCTGGGGTGGGTGGGTCTGAGACAGGAGGAGAAGCTGTTGAAACGAGGGCCATGAATTCAGTTTGTTTGCCGTTATGTTTGGTTTGGTTTTGTATGGGTTTTTTTATCAATTGGGCAGCTCCCTTTTCCACAAGCCTTTGTGACTGTAGAACTATTGTAGAAAAATAAAAAAAGTTCTTTTCTATATATAAAAAGAAATTATCCAGCGCAGTAATATTGGTACCTACCATTTTTTCACTTCTGTTTGAAAAAAAAAAATGTATTTTTAGCAAGATAACTTGGGTAATCTTCTAAAAGAAATTAAAAAAAACTCTCACTGTTAGTGACTTTGATGCCTTTTAAAAATAAGAGCTTTTTCATTTCATTCCATCTTTAAAATTTTTTATCTTTGTTGTAGAATATTAAAAACTATTTTAAGAAAGATAAAATTCTCTTTAAAGAGATCTCTAGAGTGTGTGAATAGGAGCTCCAGATGCCTCTAAAAGCCGCATGTACAAATGAAGCTGAGTCTATTCCTGTCTGTTTATATTTGCTTTTCCTGTTTTGTAACCTCTTTGTACTTTGTTCATGGTGACTTGTAAGCTAAGGGGAAGGGGTGCCTAGATGCCTTTGTAATTCTCCATGTCATACGCTCCTGGCTGGATGGTCTCCCTTCCTCTCCTTGTATGTAATATCACTTTTTTTTCCCCTTTCTAGCAAGTACTTTCAAAAGAACTCTGTACATTTTAACATAAAAAATAAATTATGTTGAGCCATTTTGGATGTAAGTTGTGCATGTGGGTTTTTTTTCTACCATTCAAGTGGTGAATGCTGTCCCTGATCCTTGGTCCTGGTAGTAGGATTCCCTGTCAGCCTTTTCACCTGGGAGAGAGTTGATACTTGGAATTCACTCACGAAATCTCCATCTATAATAATTTTTATCTAGATTTTCTAATCAGAGAAAGATTAAGAAGAAAAATTTGAAGCTTCCCCAGGCATCACCTTGAAATTCCTTTCTGCCAGGGCTGCCCCAGGCCAAGTGGTATTTGTCAGCTTCAGTTTCTAAGGTTGCTTGAGCTTTGACTTGTGCCCTTCAAAACTGCCAACGTGTGTTCGACTTTTCCCCCAGCCCCTTCGGCTGCTCCCTGAGCTCTGTCATCAGCACTTTGGGCAGTAGAACGAGACATTTTAGCCAGCAAGTTTTGCCCTGCAGCCTCAAGGCACAGTTGGATTGTTGTGGTGCTGTTCCTTTCCTTTGCTGCGCAGCTCTCCACAAGCTCACGGCTCTAACAACGCTAGATGGAAGCACAGTTCCAGCCTGAGCGTGGTCGGTAGCAAAGTTTCCCTGTGATAAGCTTGTGGCAAGAACCACTGGCTCAGCCTCCTGTGGCCCAGGGGCTGCCCCAAGCCAGGCTGTGGGTAAAGACTCAGTGGCCACAAGAACCTTCCAAAGGCTTTTCTGCAGATGTGCTGTCACAAGGATGTCTTCCAGAAAGCAAACTCTTTACCAAAAGCATTATTTGATCAAATAGGCTGCACTGGTAACTGCTTGTTGTTAAAAAAACCCAAGTGAAACCCCAACGCCTGCGTGGGTTAACGAGGATAGCCAGGCTTAGAAGCTATGAACAAGATTGCCTCTTTTCTAGAACCTTGTCCTACAAACTGTCCAATCCTGCCATTAGAGAATGACTAAACAGGGGAAAGGTAAGGAGAGGTGGTTAGGTTTTTTGGGGGTGGTTTTTTTTAGGGTTTTTGGTTTGGTTTTTTTTGTGAGAGAGTTGCCAAGCCAAAACAGGTTTGAAATCTGTGTCTCGAAGCACAAGAACCTCTAGTAGCTTAGAGCATGGTGTGGACAGCAGTTGCTCTGTCCAGCACTGGCTGGTTGGTTTGCTCTAAACTAGCTGAGAAGGTGGACCACAATGTTTGCTACCAGCTCTCAATATGCCGGGAGGAGTTTGAATGCGACCTACAGCAACAAACTACTGGGAGACTAGAGTTGTGGTATTTGAAGGCTAACTGAAAGGAGGATGATCTTAAAGGGTTCTGGCAGTTCTAAAAGCTCATCAGTGAGATAATTAAGAAAAAGCTAAAAAGAACAGAAACA